TTCAGATCCACTCAAAGTTAGACTCAGACAGGATATGTCTATATGAATTTCGTCTTGTACCTGTCAAATGGATGACCCTATAATTTCCAAGGAAATGGATAGGATCCTTGGGACTATTGACTCAGTTACCTACTTATTAGATCCATCCCTCTCTTGGTTAGTTAGGACTTCCTGGAAGATAAAATGTAGTTAGGTTCGGGGGTGGTGGTAAATGGATCTTTGAGTGACTGAATGTTTTTGCCTATCTTGAAGAAGACAGTGGTATACCTTCTCCCCAAATAGCCATTTCTGGACCCAATGTTGATGACATCATTCATTATGGTTGTCAATTATCTCTGGTGAAGCTGGGATGGTGTTGGTACAACCAGATGATTCAACTGTTCTGGTTCTTCATTTTTCAGGAACTTTATCATCAATCATGGTAATCTTCTGGACAAACTACAGGTATTAGGATTTGGAGTCACAATGTTACAGTGGTTCTCCTCTTTTCTCTATTACTGGTTCCAGTTGATTTGTACGTGAAGCCAAATGCTTCTGACTTTCACGATGCTTCAAGACTCAACTGTCCCAGCCTTCCAGTTATTATCATATATGGTGGTCATGTAAAAATATAAAAGCTTTTTGGATTAAGATATGGTGGAATATCCAAAGAATTTTTAGAAGAAGGGTAAAATTTATCCCACAATTGTTTTTGTTAGGTATTCTTTCTGATTGTGACACTAAAGAGACTACATTGATGTTAAATTTAATCACAGCGGCAAGGTTGTTAGTAGGGCAATGTTGGAAGAAGGAATCTTTGCCTACCTTGCAAGAGTGGTTTTTTAAAGTTTCTTATTTGGCGGAAATGGCAAAGATTTCGGCTTTCTTGAAAGACCAATCGCAAGAGAAGTATTTTTTGGTATGGAAAAAATGGATAGACTTTATACAATATAAGTTGGATATAAAAAAATATTATTTAGCTTTTCAATAACTTATAAAAAAACTTAAGATATTTTATAGACTTTTTTTTCCTTTTTTTCTTTTTTTCTTTTCTTTTTCTTTCTTATTTTCTTGTATTTTCTTGTATTTTTGTCTTTTTATACATATATTATTGTTAATTATTTAACAACTTGTTTAATTAATGTATTTAGACTTGTTTATGGTTTATATCTGTTTTAAGACTTTTTGAAAAATTTTTAATTAAGCCTGTATTCAACTCTGGGAAGGTTGGGGGAGGGTAGGGGAGGGTTGGGGGGGTTCGGGGAAGGGATTTGTATTGTTTTGTAAAATCTAAAAATTTTTCAATAAAAAAAAAAAAGACTCAACTGTCCCAGCCTTCCTGATCATCATTTACATGAAGCTGCTGGGTTAGGTAATCTGTTGATCAGGTGTTATCAATATGCTGATTATATCCTGCTATATGAGAATCAATCTGATGTCATGGTTAGGCAATAGGTTAGAAACCAAGAGACTATGAGTTCCAGGCATGCTTAAGCAGGGAGCCAACTAGGTGACTTCAGATCAGTCATCTTTTCTCAGACATAAGATGATGACAATGGGAAATCACCTCCAAAAAATCTTGCCAAAATTACCAGAACTAGCCCAGACAGTCAAAGGGAATTAAAACTGACTTGAAGGCACGTACATATACACATATATTCTTGTTTGTTATCTCAACTCTGGGCCAAGAAATTGATGCTATCAAGGTCCTTTTCCAGGTATGTCTGGTCAGGGAAGAGTAAACTTAAAATGAAAACTGAGTAACTGTTTATTTCCGATTCTTCTGGCACCTTGTTTTTTCCACTTTTATTGCTGAATAGGATTCTTCTTCCTTATACAGAACTAAAGTGCAATTTGGAGGGCCTCCTTGATTACTGAAATGTAATTAAACAGAATTCCAACTACTATGAATCTTATGATTCTCTGTAAGATTTTGAAATTATTGAAATCATTTCCTCAAAAGAACTCCAACTTTCTGCTCTTTTTATATTCTTAATAGCATATATTTATGCAAGAAACTACTGAAGTATGCATTTACAATTGTTCATCTAAGGTGGTTTAGCAATATTCTTAGCTGTAACCATTTGGAAAGCTGAATCATAATAAAAGTACACAAGTGCCATTTCATTCTCCAGATTTGATTTAACTACATAAAATTATATGCATACAATAAGCAAAGATGTTATGAGAATCTATCAAGAAGTAATAAATGTACCCAGAATATCTTACAGAAATACAGATATTACAATTTACAATAGTAAGTCCAAACTACAATAAGGCAGAATTTATTCAGGTGCAACTATTTACATAAAAAAGTTACTATATGCTTCTAAAAGGTAAATGATTCCATTTATAGCCCTAGTAGATACTAGAATTATTTACTTCCTTTCTCAAGGAATCTTTCAACTGGGATATTCATATACATTGTATTTATAATAGAATCAATAAGGTAATAAATAATAAATATTTGATATTCTCAAAAAGCACAATACTGAATTTTATATTTTTTAAAGATTCTGAGTATTAATTCAGAGAACTATTATCTATAAAGCAGTTTTAAACTAGGATGAATCATTTGTCCATCTACTCAAATTGCTTTTTTGTAATAGTTTGACAGATCAGACAGAATCTTTCATAGCCTTGCTATTTAAAGGGAGGCTAAAAATTAATCTTATGACTTGAAAGTTGAACATGTGGACAGGGTTTGTACATTGCACTAATTCATGTTTGGTTTACTAGTAACATATTAAGTAAACTACAATCAGCTAATTTGACAAAGCATACTAAACCAAGACCAAATAAATTTTATTATAAGACTTGAATCATCTCATTGATCATAAAGCACTGTTGGTTATATTTAAAATATGGTTTAGCACAGTGATGGCGAACTTTTTAGAGACTGAGTGCCCAAACTGCAGCCCAAAACCCACTTATGCATCGTTGAGTGCTGGGTGGGTGTGGCCCATTGGCTGGGCGTGGCCCATTGGCTGGGCGTGGCCCATTGGCTGGGCGTGGCCCATTGGCTGGGCGTGGCCCATTGGCTGGGCGTGGCCCATTGGCTGGGCGTGGCTGAGGTGATAACAACAGACTGGGTGGGACTAAAAAGTTCAATCAATCAATTCCAACTTTGCAAGATCTTTTTTTTCCCACGAGAAGTTGAAATTGACTGATTGATTGAACCTTTTTTTTTTTTTTGCACATGGTGGCGGAGGCCTAAAGCGAAAAGGTTTTATAAAACCCAGTTGAAGGCCTAGGACTGGGGCGACGGTGCGCGTGCCCACAGAGAGGGCTCTGAGTGCCGCCTCTGGCACCCGTGCCATAGGTTCACCACCACTGGTTTAGCATGATCTATTAATTGAGTAAAAAACTTGCTGTGTTTATAGATGGTTTGCTGAGCTAACTACAACTGGTTTGGTTCAGAAAATACACTCATAACTTAATATGTTCTATGAAATCAACTATTTTATAAATTATGATGCATAGCTTAATGTATTGCGTGATTCTACTCAACTGCATATTTTACCCTATTATTAAAGAGATTAAAGCCTCATACTAAGATTACTACTGGAGTACTCACTGAAAATAATGTACCTATGGACATCAACCTTCATCACTGGGTACCTTGTCCCCACCTGACTTATTATTTGATAGCCTATGGGTCCAGGAAGAACACTCCAAACAGCTTCAATTAAAATACAGCCACAAACATAAAATGCAGGAAAGCCTTTGAAAAAGCAGACATAATCTTTCATTCATTCAATAGGTTTATATATTTGTCAATTTATTCAAGGAATACTAAGACAGTGAATGGAAACAGAACTCAGGTCTTAAATGGTAGCCATTTTGCAACTCTGCTCTCATTATAGCCATACCAAGCTGTTTTATATGTATTATTAACCTAGCAGGATTTTTCAGGACAGTATGAAAAGGGTGAATAGGTGAGTTTTGACAATTTTAAAATGACCTTGAAATTAATCTTTACTAATACAGAGAATTCTAGTCAGAATTCTATTGTCCCAGTCAGCATTGTATTTTTTGGAACAATTGTTGGAAAAGTGTATCAGAAGACAGGGAGATAAATTCTGGTTGATACTTCCAAAACATACATATATGCTAGTTGTGTTTCCCAATGCAGAGACTAGGGGCATGTGGGTATAAATTCTGCAGTAAATAAAGTACAGAAAGAGTTAAATTTGTAGAGTGGTGCAGTAGAAAAATCCCTATTCATTTTCTGATCTCAAGCCATTCCTCAAACATCTACGTACAACAGGGGTCTCCATCCCCCGGTCCGGGACCAGGCCGCAGCATGCCAGAAACCGGGCCAGGCAAACAAGCAAAGCCCCATCTGCGGATGCAGGCAGTACATAAAACCACGCCCCCTCCGGCCCACAGAAAAAATTCTCTCCACGGAACTGGTCCCTGGTGCTCAAAAGGTTGGTGACTTTTGAGGACCAGATGTTATTCCCATATTCCCGAATTGGCCCATTTTAAACAAAAAAACCTGAAGCATGCTCAAGACACACAGCAAAGTAGCTAATCCCAGAAAAGGGGTAAAAAGGCTCCCCGTGCCTGTGTTCAAGGGCAATCATTGCAAAGATCATTTAACGAAATAAAGATAATACACTTTTTTTCTTGTGGAAGGGACTAAAAATTCTGCCGGCATTCGCAGACGCTCAATCCTAGGTATCAGGAGTTTTCCTAAGGGGGGGAGAAAGGGGCAACCCTATGAAGAAAAAGTTGCTTCTGAGCCGGTATCCACAGGCTACTCTGCCGGTTTGTAAGGTCCATTCCTGGGACCTAAATCCGTACCAACCCTTTCCCCATCCACCAGTAGCGACTCTAACGATGGGAAAGCCCGACCCTCCCACCGCCTCCATAGCTATGCCTGCGGGAGAGCCAAAAGTAGGCCTTTCTCAGCAGCGGCTCCGCGTAGCTTAAGCTCTTCAGCGGAAGTGAGCTAGCTCGGCGTTCCTGAAGAAGGCAGTGGCTTCTCTCGTGGCCTTCTCACCTAACCTGCTTACCTGCCGGTATCGGAGGCGAAAAGGCCGCAAATATTGGGAGGCGACGCAAGGTCCGAGAGCCAATTCCGCGATCGATTCCATGCCGGAGCTAGCCTCGGATGACGGCGCGCTGTTAACCCCGCAGGGAAGCCGAGAAGGAAGGAGCGAAAAGAAAGAAGGGGAGCGCGGGCAGAGAGCCAGCCGGCGGGGAAATGCACGCGGAAACTAGAAAAGAACGGGCGGTGCGCGAGGTGTTTCCCTTTTCCCTCATCTTTTTCCTATATGGATGAGTGGAGTTGGGGGACAATGGATGCAGGTCAATGCTTTTCCTATGGAAAAATGCTTTGAATTCAAGGTGGAGGACAAAGATGTTATTAAAATCCTTTAAGGGATAAAAGCTTGAGGGGGACTTTATGAAGTAGTTTGCCCTGCACTCTTCACCCCCACCCTACCCCGGTTATAAGAGAGATAGGGCTGTAGATATATACATGGCAGTTCTTAACAGGTTTATCTATGTGGTCGCTAGGAATCAAAAATGACTTCATGGCAAAGTATCAAGAGTTTCGGGGAGGGGGCCTTGGTGCTGTCTGAACTTGGCTGTTTTCTTACAAACATTTCATTACCCAAACTTGGTAATATCATCAGCGCTAGAGAAACTGATAGCTAATTGAGTGATCAGGTGACTATAGCCAAAGAGGAGTTCTGAGTGCCTTTTGTGGACTAGATAAAAACGGAATAACAGAGTTGGAAAGGACCTTGAAGGTTTTCTAGTCTAACCCCCTGCTCAAGCAGGAGACTATTTCAGACAAGTGGTTGCCCAATCTCTTCTTAAAAATCTCCAGTGAGGAGTACCCACAACTCCTGAAGGCAGGCTGTTCCATGTTCACCCCAATTACTATTAATTATATTACATTAATTTCCTTTATTTTTGGCTTAGCAAGCATAGGCGTGTTTTACACCATGTTTTATGACTTGATATGTGCCATCCAGCCAGTTGTGGTTGCAGTAAAAAAACATTACACTTAAACTATGATAATTCTATGTCATCTTTATTTCAACCTTGCAAAATAGACTAGTATTATTCCCAAATTATGAAGAAAGTACTGCAAAGAGACAGGCAGAAAAGTTACCATAAAACTGCCTGGTGAATTTTTTGCTGAATATTGATAAGGACAATTGTCTGGTTCCTTTTTTTTCTATTTTGAGAATTCAGGGAAAGTAATTTTGCATATGTAATCAACTTCTGTTCTTGAAAAATTAATGCACCCAATATGACTTGGTTTTGAAATTGTTATAAATTAACCAAATTGAACAAACCTGCATAAATCCTTTTATTTGGGGGAATGTCTTCACATTTGCTGTATTCTGCATTTCTGCTTGTTTTAGTTAAGCTAGTAAATAGCAAAGAGCTCTCCTTAGCATTACCATCCTTCACCAGCCAAACCTTTAGCTTCCAAAATTTGAGCATTTAGCTGAAATATGACAATTAGCTAAATTTCTTTCTGGGTGGTTGGGAGTGGGAAAGAGCTGCTGAAAATACCAGAAAACTGAATTTTCATCCAATACCTGTCTTTGTTCTCCATCTTGTGGAATATATATAGCCTTATTTATGTCAGCCCAGAATTCTTATTAAACACTGTTATTGAACAAGATGTTTAAACATTTCTGAATATTGCCCACTCACTTTAGATCAAGTCATATGCTTGAGTGGTCTACATGTCTGGTTCATTTTGATATGATTAAGGAGAAACTATTTTAAAGCTATGTAACTTAGAAGAGAAAGGAGAAATAGATATTTGTCTGCTCTGTGCACTCCATTTCTATAAAAACTTCTGCGGCCCACTTTTCTATGCAAATGTAACAATGCATATTTAATATACATACAGGTAATCCTCAACTTACGACCACAATTGAGCCCATATTTTCTGTTGCTAAGCGAGACAGTTAATTTTGCCCCATTTTACGACCTCTCTTGCCATAGATGTTAAGTGAACCACTGCCGTTGTTAAATTAGTAATGTGGTTATTAAGTGAATCTGGCTTCCCCAATGACTTTGTCAGAAGGTTGCATGACCTCGGGACACAGCCTTTCAGAAGAAAAATGTTTTTGTTCAATGATTTGAAAGTTGTTTCAAGATTGTGCCCTGTCTTGCTGCCGCCTAGTAACAGAATGGATTTGGACTTTCTATGTTTCCATAGTGCTAGTGTTAGGGAGTATTTTTTTAAAAAAAACACTTCTTTACCTTTCGATAATTAGCCTCTGGAAAACTTGGCTATTAAATCTAGCACTAAGCGCTGAGTATGCAGTTAGTATGCACATGGATAAGGTGATCTTTATACCAATGTACAATATTTATTGGAAAATCCAGAACAGAAGATTCAGAAAAAGCCCCCTGCAGTTTATAATAAAGCAAACATACACTTTATTTACTCAAACCTCTCTTAATTATCTCACTTATCAGATCCTGAATCTTTTATTAGATTTACAGAGGGTTTCCACAGCAAGGTATGGCCTTTTGAGTCCATGCTAAGCACATAGTCTTGAAATTGCTGCCTGGTAAAATAGCCAATAATTTATCTTATGGCCCATTTCTAAGCTTCAGCATCCAATCTTTTTTGTTATTGTTTGTTTAAGAAGGATGCATTTTTAGGTGCTGGAAACATTACTGAAAATAAAGATTATGTTAAAGCTAGTTAGGTGCAACAGGATAGCATCTTATTTTAGTTTTAAATGAAAAGGAAGTTAAATGATGAGGTGTCGAGGGATGTGTTAATGGATGCTGGCACCTGGTGGCACAGTACTGGGACATAGTTTTATGCTTCAAAATATAGCTTTGTTTTCAACAAACTATAAATAAAAAGAATTGTAAAAATTAGTCAACAAGTTTTTGGTTCAGAAAAAACAAGCCAAAGTTTTCAAATTCCTCTCTGTTGTGTTAGTAGAAAAAGAGGACAAATTGAGATATGGGAATCAAAGTTCATTACCACTTAGCAATAGCATTTAGATTTATATACCATTCCATGCTGCTTTATAGCAGTCTGTGGTGCTTTACAAAGTCGGCATATTGCCCCAACAAGCTGGATCCTCATTTTACTAAGGATGGAAGGCTGAGTCAACCTCAAGCCCATCAGGATTGAACTCCAGGCTGTGGACAGAATTGGTCTGCAATGTTACATTCTAACTACTGCACCACTACAACTCCTACTTTACTGAAGCTCATCGTAGCATTTACATTATTTTGCCAAGTCTGATTGACCCTTCACAGTGATTAAACTGCTCAAATTTAAAATAATTCTTGAAGTAGCTTTGATGGCCACATGTTCAACAACACAAAAATAGCATTAGTCCAGTTCTACATTAGCACACTTAAGCCTTGAAATAGAATTTCACTTTTATTCATTATGCCACTCTATTTCTGAATAGGCCAAGCAAGTCACAAGGAATGACAAATTTATTTATTTAAAACTTTTGTATCTTGGAATTGAGAGCCTCTTGTCAGGTTACAATCAGGAATAATACAAGGAATCAATAACCTAAACTAGCACCAATCATACAGCAAAACATTCAGATGTTCCAAAATATCTTTTTGAAAAGTTAGTTTTCCATAGCTTAGTAATAGAGAGGTAGCTGGCCAATTATCTGGAAGTAGTTTATTCCAGAAGTCATAATTGAAAAAGCTTGAGGATGGGGTCCCCCAAAATTTGGTATCCTTAGCAAGTCCTTTCAATTAGAACTCACTAGTTACAGGAGACAGAGAAGAAAATTTCAAATATAGCCAGGCCCTGAACCAGACAGGGTTTTATAACCAATATCTGAAAGCTACTGGTAGACAGTGCAGCTCCTACAATAGTAATGTTAGGTAGGTTAACCTAAGCATACCCAATATTAACACAGACTGTCGGATCAGCCGAAGCCTCTGAATAGTCTTCAAGTGCCAAAAGCCTGAGTCACTGATCCAGAAAAGGCAATGGCTGATGCATAAGATGTAGTTGTGTAGAAGCCCTTGTGACCACAGTCTCTACCTGCTGTTCAAGCAGGAGCTATCTTCAGGCTTGAGCTCATCCCAAATGATAAGGCTTCTATAATCTCAGCTGGATTTGACCAGCTGGCATCAAATTCTGAGCAGCTGTGAGCAATTTTATTCTCCAGGTGCTGCATTAATTCATCAAAACAGACCAGCAGATAATCTTCCATCTTGGTTGAGTTAATGTAATGCCTCTCGGAGTTATCTGCAGCTTGCAATAAGAGTGGAAAAGTAAATACAGGTAATCCCCGAGTTATGAGCATTCACTTAACACTCATTCAAAGTTACATGATGAGCGTCCCCTAGTGTTTACGAGCAAGTCCCGAAATTACGAACATTCAGCATCATGGCTGTCGTTCGCCCTTATGAACGAGCACAGTGGCTGTGCAACATTCACCCTGGTTATTCCTTCCCATCCCCGCCCCGTGTCTGTCTAGTCACCAGGTCTTCAGTACTCACCCTGTGAAGATCCTTCGCTTTCTTGGCTGCTCCAGGCCTTTGGTGCATTCGCAGAGAATGGAGGCCTAAAGTAACGCAAGATCACACTATATCAGTGGGGCAAGATCTCACAGTACTGATCTTGTGTGATCTCATGGTACTTTAAGTCGCTATTCTCTGCAATAGAGAATGGAACTGAAGCCATGGGATGCTTTCATGTGCCTCCGGAGGCTGGATTGGGATGTTGGAGGCCTTTTCCAGGCCATTGCCACCCAGATCTGAGCTCTGGAGGCCTTTTCCAGGCAGCTGCCACCTGGATCTGAGGCCAGGGGACACTTATGTAGCCCTCCGGCGGCCTGTTTCCAGGTGGCTTGGAAAAGGCCTCCAGAGCCCAGATCGGGCCACGGGAGTGCGGCTGGAAGCATTCCCAGCCTCAGATCTAGGCAGCAGCAGCCTGGAAAAGGCCTCTGGAGCCTGGATCAGAAGTGTCCTCTGGCCTCAGGTCTGGGCGGCAGCAGGAACTGTGGCAGAGAGGAAACATCTTTTCTAGGTGAGTCCGGCGCGGTAGGAAGGGAGGGGATAGCATGAGGTATCTTAGTGCAAGACTTTTCAACCAGTGGTACGGGTGCCACCTGTGGTACATTGGCACCTAGCAGGTGGTACACGACCATCCTAGAAAAGTGGTAACGGGGGAGGGGAATGAGCTGAATGGTGGTAGCATCGCACAAGCCTGAGCGAGAGATGGCTGTAGCTGCAGGGCTGTCAGGGCTCAGCGGAAGCACCAGGATCAGCTCTTCGGGGCTGTCATTGCTCAGTGGAAGCACCGATCAGCTGGAATGTTGCAGCATCTCCATTACATTCAGATGCTTGGCAACTGATTCATATTTATGATGGTCACAGTGTCCCAGAGTCATGTGAAGTGACCAAAACACTGCAACCATCCAGCAGATGAGGGGAATAAAAACCAAACACCCCCCCATCCCTGCTGCCAATTCTCAACAGAAATGCTCACAACAATGAAAACCTCAGACAGGAGGAAGAGCGCCACTGGGTGGGCAGGCAGGTGTCTTGCTCGGCTGTGGCTTGGGGGGCACTTTTTTCAGTGCCATTGTAACTTTGAACAGTCACTAAGCGAACTGTTGTAAGTCGAGGACTACCTGTACTTCATCACTTTTTTCCTTTTTTTTGGTCATCAAGTTTTTGACACCTTGATAGGCGACTGGTGGTACTTGGATATTGCCATATCCTAAAAGTGGTACAATGGGTGAAAAGGTTGAAAAGCCCTGACTTAGTGGGTCGCGGAG